AAAAAGTTCGAAATGGTCAACGTAAACCTATGGACGGCATAGGTAAAGCTAAAACAAACGATCATAACATTGCCCATTCTTGTTCAATCACGGTGATTTTGGTGTCTTTCGACTCAGCTTGCCGAGCTCTTTCAAATGACATACATTTTGGTCATATTCATTATTTTGACCATTTTGATCCTTGTATCTTTTGACCATTTCGAGCCCGTACCATTTCGAATCCAAATGATCTTGTTTCATTTGACACAGCTCGAAGAGCTCTTTCGAATGGCATATAATTTGTCGATATTCATGACCATTTTTAAACATTTTTAAAGTGCGGTCACAAAACAGAAATGTACCTTAATTTGTTGTGTATATCCTAGTGCTTGGCAAATGAATTTTTCCGGTACCGGTAGTATCGATAAGTACCTTTACCAGTTGAGTACTGAAAATATCAAAATTTGCCGTTTGTTACAACCTGAGGTTGTCCGGTTATGTTCGAGTTATGCCTGATGTAGACGTGCACAAGAATAACAGTTTGTCCGGATAAAAATTTTTTAGTTTTACCTTTCTTATATTTACTTAGCTTTCTAAAATGTCTAGAAAAATATAAAAGTTGGATTTTGGTGTTTAAAATATTTTGTTTTATTTTTTGACAGAATTTAAATGATTTAATTATAAAGTACATTAAGGTTCTAATGAATTATTTTTCTAATTTACGTTTTAACTATACCATCATGCTCACCCTAAAAACTATTTAGTATTAAAATAACAAAAAGTGCAACCTTATGATAATATTTTTGTCAATTTCAATAATATTTTAAAAATTAAGAGACTATCGAAAATATTTTTAATAAACTTTTAATAAAAGTTGTTCAAACATAAAGTGTATCTTCAATTCAATATAAAATGGATTCAAGTTTCGGTTTAAGACAACAATTCCGTTTTATTAATAAAAATATTAAATTCAAACCCTTATAAAAAATGATAAAAATAATTTTTTTATTCCTTATTTTTGCCCAAATTTATTATTTATCCTCCTCAGCAAATCTGACTGAAAAAGAAAAGTTAGATAAAGCTCAAAAAATAGTTGATAAGGCAAACGCTAAAAATAAAGGGAAATGGATTGCAAAATTACATAATCGAATTGCTAAATTGGAGAAGCATTCAGTAATGCTTGGGGCAAAACTGAAAGTCCCGAAAAAACAAGTCTCTACTCCCGAAAAAACAAATCTTCGCCGTAAACGTTCAATTCCAGCTTCTTTTGATGTTCGTACAGGATTTGCATCTTGTGCTGGAATTGTTGGAATGATTCAAGTAATTAGGAATTTTTAATAATTAAATAAATAATCCTTCAAAAAAGGACCAATCAAGTTGTGGAGATTGTTGGGCTGTCTCCACTGCCTCTGCTTTAACTGATCGTTATTGTATTAGTCAAGTAAAAAAGGGGAATTCAGCACCTTTAAAGACAAATCCATCCGTATATTTCTCAGCGCTAGAGTTGATGAGTTGTACTCCTGGAATGTGGGGATGTGATGGAGGTGATCCTTACTATGCATGGAAATATACACAGACTTCCGGTATTTTGATTATTTTTACTGGGATATTGAATGGAATTCCCTCCCCCCCCTCCCTACTAAACATTCAGTCTCTGTCAACTGATAGTAATCACGCAAAACAATGTCTTTTGTAGATAATAACGTAAGTTAGGCAAAGATTTGGGTGCCAGGCAAGCATTTTTTCCCCTTTATTTTTCCACCCTTCCTGCCATCTCTTGTTCTACATAAATTTCATTCTCAAATATCATCTGATTTTTAATTAAAGGTCTTGTTACTGGAACAAATTATACTTGGAACAGTGGATGTAAACCATATCCATTCCCTCCCCATGGATCAACTGAATACACTGCTCCGTCCTGTGTCTCTTCATGTACATCGAGTACTTGGAATGTTGCTTATACCCAAGATAAAAAATATAGTTTAGTCTCTAATTTAAATATTTAACAAAATATTCTTTTAAATTAAGCTAAAACAACAGGTTATATTCAAAGTAATGTAGCAGCCATTCAAAATGAAATAATGGCTAATGGTTCTGTTGTAGCTGCTTTCGATGTTTACGATGATTTTATGTATTATTCATCGGGAGTATATCAGGCAAATTTTGGATAGACTTTAATTGCCTTTTACTAAAATTATAAATTAAATTTAGCAAACTTCTGATGTTTATGTAGGCGGACATGCCGTTAGAATGATTGGTTGGGGTACAGACACTTATCCAGACGGAACACATTTGGATTATTGGTTGTGTGCCAACCAATGGAATTATGATTGGGGAATGAATGGATATTTCAAAATTGCTAGAGGTGTGGATGAATGTGGAATTGAATCCTCGGAAATTTCTTTTGGAACTTTTTAAAATACTATTTAGGTATTACATTAGTATAATTAGATTTATCTCAGTAGATAAACTAAATTTAGAAATTTATGTTATTTTTCAAGCTATTCACTAAATATTGTTTTGATCATAATTAGTTGAAATAAATGTTAAAAATATAATTTTCGATAATTTTACACAGATAGAATAAAAGAATTAAAATTTCAAATTAATTTAGTAAAGTAAATGTAAACAAGCAAGGATTCGGATTAGAAAATTTTATTATTAATTAAACAGTAATTAATTACGATTATAAACATTTAAAAATATACGCACATGAATTTTCCACATTCTCGAGCAACGTATGGTGGAAAAATATCAAGAAAATTTTATACAAAAATAACAAAATTTCAAGAAAATTAATTCTAATACTTTTATTGTATAATATTTAGAAATTCTCAAATAAAAGGAAATTTCAAAAAATATTAAAAATGAAATAAATATAGAAACTTTATAGCCCTGTAAAATGTTTGAATAATTATTTGAAAAAAAATTCTAAAGATGATAAACTTTAAATATTTAATCGGTTTTTATTTAATATTGTTATAGAATTATTTTCTTTGAAAGGATTTTTTTACTCCACATAAATATTTGCTCGGCTATAAATTAGTTAAAATTATATAAATATCTTTATATTTTTCACGGAAAACCGAAAAATATCTCAAATATTCTGCAGGAAAGCATAAATAAAAATTAAATAAAAATTTTAAATTCCTTTTAATTGAACTTCTTTCCCTTGACCTTAATGTAAACAAAAATCCATATTAATTTAAGACTAGAATAGGGCCCTACATAGAAAATTTATTTTTTTGCACGAGACTTTAAAAGAACAAAAATTATTTATTTATTTAAAGAAACAATTCTTTTTAAACCTAAAAATATAAACAGAACTTCCCCCCTCCCCCTACCCTCGAATATTTACTTTCCACTCGAGGAATACAAATTTCATAACAAATAAAAATTTGGTAAAATCTTTTAAATTTTTTTTTTCATTAAAAGTAAAAGAAATTCTTTAATTTTGTTTTTTTCTGAAATTATTCTTTGGTCTTTTCAATAAATTTTTTTAAAAATTATTTTTAAATATTTGTTCATATGAATTGCCACATCTCAGAAAATATTTTATGACGCAAAAAATATTTTTGGCTTTAGCGTATAGCTTAAATCCAGCTTTTTATTAAGCTATTTTAATAATTAAATAAAAACTTTCATTTTCTATTAATTGATTTTAAATAAAAAATATTGGCAAAAATAAATATATTAAACTTGCTATTTATTAATATAATCGAGTTATAATTTTAATTGTTATCATTAGAGCGCGGATTTTTAATGAAATAAAATCGCAAAATATGGCCATAAAATATTGAAATAAATGGGCAAAATATTGACAAAAAATGCCAAAATTTAATGAAATATTGAAATAAATTTTCGTATATTCACTAGCAAAAAGCCAAAAAAAGTTGAAATTTAACAAAAAAAAGTTAGTAAGTTTTTAAAATTGCATATTAGCTTTATAGTTTGACGAATTGGGTAATTTTACTCTCTTAGGCCTTTTGAGATGATGAAATGAGGATGTGACATTTTGTGAGCTTATCCACTCGACGTACTCCAAGTGTAAGTACAAAAAGTGCAAGTACAATCTCCCAGAAGAATTACCCTATATAAGCCAGAATTCTTAATTTTCAGCGCCGCAGGCGAAAATTTTGTGAATTTTTGTTGTCAGGCAGCCAGATTTCTTCACTTTTTTCCTAAAATTTATGAAAAATCCCTAAATTTTGGTAAAAATATCCAAAAATATTGAAATAATTTGAAAAAAGTGCCAAATATTGAAATAACTGAAAAATTGGCAAAATATTGAAATATATTGAAATATATCTTTGTTCAAAATCATAATATCGAAAAACTAATGGCATATTTGAGCTTTTCTCGACATAATATATTCAGGAAAAAAAATATATTTCAATAAGAATCCGCCCTCTAGTTATCACTTTAATTTTTAAATAACCTTTTATAAGCTATATGTTATTGTTATTTTAACTACAAATGAAAGGGAAAATATTTGAAAGTTAGGAAAAGGGAATAATTTGAATAATAATGATAAAGGGCAAAATTGCTAATTAATTATTAAAAAGTGTTTAAATCACTGAAATAACAGTTTGATTCATTATTTGAAAGAAAATTACAATAGTATAAGGATAGATCGAATCATATAGGGAGATTGCTCATCCTTTTTAATCATTCAAAAAAAAATAATGAATGATCCAAAAGAAATGTTATGGGGAATCTCTAGATAATTAATTAACAAAGAATCAAAGGTTAATTCATTATTTCATTTTTACAAAAAATTTTCAAATTAATTTTTACACATAAACAAATTTTCCTAACAATTATCACCTAAAAATAAAGCTGCTTAACAATTGATTAATTTAAAATAAAATTTTGTATAATTATTAATTTTTAATCATTCAAAAAAGTATTTATTTTTGAATAACTACCCAACAGTAAAATAAATATTTTATTGATAAGAAAAACTCTAAATTAATAATCACAATTATTAAATAATTATTTAAAAAACATCATCATTAAAAATGCCTATTAAAAATAATTATTTACCTTATTCAAATTGGAATGTTTCGAAATTTATATTAAATGAATTTGTTGAAGAGAATAAAGGATATGGAGGGAATATTATTGGAATTTTGGTTGTTTTAATTGGAGCTTTATGTTTTGGTTCTTTGGTAAATTTTGTGAAAAATAATTTTTTATAATTTTTAATATTTTCTGGTCAAGATTCTTTCTGACCGTAAATCTCATTAATTTTTTCTGGAATCAGAATTTTTTATCTTAGAAATTGTAAGAAAAAATACAACCAATAAAGTATGCTTTTAGTCTGGAGACGACATCCTGGTCGTGTTATCGACTTTTCTGAGGGTTTAAAAAAATAGCTAAAAATAATTATTGTAGTTTTCAATAAGAGTATGAGCCGGATAGGGGATTCAATCCAAATGCCTGAATCGTTTGGGGGTGCACTATTTTTCAGAAGGGGACTATTTTGGAGGATTTAAAATGTATCTAAATGTTGTAAGGATGATTCATCTAAATAGCAGCATTTAAAACGCTTAGGCGGGGGTTAAACGATCTAAAAGGAAAAGAGAAAAGCATTAGTCGATGCCCCGGTAGTTCATTTGTCAGTGGTAGAGCTTCTGTATATGGTGAGCGAAAGCTCCTAGCAATAACTGTCAGGAAGGAGTCGCAGTTTTAAATCCTGCCCGGTGGCTAAACTTTTGCCAAACTCTTTCTAAGTTATCCATTTAAAATCGAAAGAATCTAAAGCAATAATTTTTAAAATAGGTATCAGGGAACGCGCCGACAGAAAATCAAATTCCCGATTTTCGGGAATCGTGAATTCACGAAAATTTCGAATTCACGATTTTCGTGAATCGGGAATTCACGAGAATTTCGAATTCACGATTTTCGTGACTCGTGAATTCACGAAAATTTCGAATTCACGATTTTCGTGAATGGGAATTCACGACCCAAAAATCGTCGGGAATTCACGATTTTCGGGAATTTTCGGGAATTTGGGAATTTTGCCTTTTTTGGGGGGATTAGAAGTAATTACTAGGGGTTAGATGTACTAGGGGTTCTTAATTGATTAATGGATATTTAAGAGATATAAGTGTATCAAAAATAAGGGGATTTGAGGTAATAAAGATGTATTGAGGGATATTAGGGCAGTTGGAGGATTATGAGTGATCTAGAGATAAATTGAATCTTCTAGCTTTCCAAATCACCGATATACAACCTACATCTCTTGAGCCATTGATATTCAGAGGATTCGAAGAGATATCGGAAGAACCAGAGGTGAGTGAGCCAGAGAGATGTGGATCAGTTGAAGCCTAGTAGAGGATGGAGTTGGGGATTAATACTGATATCGATGAAAGATCTGAGGGAGTATTAAGGAATTTAGGGGAGGATTAATTAGGTGCCGGAAAATGTGAATTTCTTTCCCTTTCTCTCTAAATCCTTAGAACTTATCATAATTATTCCATTTTCAGCGCCGCAGGCGAAAATTTTTTGAAATTCGGAGCTCAAGCAGCCATATTTCTTCCATTTTCAGCGACGCAGATAAAAATGTGAAGAATTTTTGAAGACCAGAAGCCAGATTTCTTCAATTTTCTGCGCCGCAGGCAAAAATTTTGAGAATTTTGGAAGCAAAGAAGCCAGAAGTCTTCCATTTTCAGCGCCGCAGGCGAAAAATTTGTGAATTTTTGAAGACCAAGTCACCAGATTTCTTCTTTTTTTGGCGCCGCAGGCGAAAATTTGAAGAATTTTTGCAGTCCAATTCACCATATTTCTTCCTTTTTTAGCTCCCATAATTAATAAAAATTCCCGATTTTTTCCCGATTTCTAGAAAAAATGTCGTGAATCGGGAACGTGAATTCACGAGATTTTCGGATTCACGATTTTCGTGAATCGTGAATTCACGAAAATTTTGAATTCACGATTTTCGTGAATCGTGAATCGGGTCGGCGCGATCCCTGATAGGTATATTTTAATTTTAAACAATTTACTATTTAGCACGTCCCAATCAAGAAATATTCAAAGGGAAATGATGGTAGTATTTTAAATTATTTTCAGATTTTTTAAAAATTAATTAGGAATTTTTATTCAATGGATAATGTCCTTTGGCAGCTTGATTATTGGATTTATTATAAATATTTTGATGGGATCTCCACCCTTTCGGTTATCAGTAACTGGTGGAGGAATGCTTTGGCCGATAGGTTGGGTTTGGTGTAAAAATAAAATTAAAGTACGAAGATTTCTCAAGTTGGATGAGGCATACATATAAGTGATTATTTAAATCACTCAAACTTTTATCCCTACTTTCTACAATTCCCAATACGAGGAAGAAACCCCATTCTAATCATTATTTTAGCAAATTCACTTGCCTACATTGTTATTTTCGGTCTCGGCCTAGCCCCGGCCCTTTTATTATGGTCAACAACAAATATACTAACAGGATGGTCTACAGGCCGATTTGGATTATTTGGCCTTAAACAAAAAATACCTGAACATGAATTGCTCAACATTGTCGGTCTGATAACAATTATAATTGGGTGAGGAGTGGATATTAAATGATTAAATTAGAAAGGAAAATTAGTGATAAAATATTTTAAATAAAAAAAACAAGTACATATGTAAGTTCGATTTTGATCACCTTCTAATTTCTGGGGGAAAAACTACCTCATAATAAATTATGAGATTTGAAAATTTAAAAATTTATTTTAAATTTAGAGGTATTTGTTTTGCTTTTATTGAGAAAAGACTTTTACAAAACAACAAAAAGCAAGTTCATATATTTCCTGGTAGGAATTGTAGTTCAAATATGTGCAGGTCATTTTCTGAAAGTGATAAAAGCAGAAAAAGGATTAATAATCAAAGATCAAATGAGCCTTTTGAAGAAGGTAATTAATATACATACCTATTAGAGACGTCCGAGACCGAAAATTTTCCAAGACAATACTAAGACCGAAAGCTCATTGATTCCCATTTTTTATGTCAAAAATTCTAATATCGAGCTGAATCAGCTTTAAAAAATCAGCTGATTAGATAATTCTGAATGAAAGAATTAATAAAAATTTTATGGAGTTAATAATCCAATAATAAAAGAATTAACTACAAAACGTATTCCTTAATTATGAGTTTGTCTTTTTTGTGTTAATTAAGCTTTAATAATCTCCAAAACTTTCTTTTTATTTAAATTAAGTGGTTGAAAACAAGGGAAAAATAGAACCTTTATGAAGTCCGGTTACGAGCCAGTTTCAAATTTCCAATCACCTGCTTACATTTTTAAATTAGGTATAAAATTAGATACGACTCATAAATTTAATTTTAGAGAATTCAGAATTTCATCAAAGTAATAATTATAATCATAAAATAATGAATGGAGTTGGTTTGGTTATCAGTGGACATCGAATATTAGATATAAGAAAATCTAGTTTTGATTTATCCTCACATTCATCAAATAAAAAGACTGAATCTAAAGAGAATTTAAATGAAACCAATGTTGGGAACTCTTCAAATTATTTTAAAAGAATTGTCCAAAGATTTAGTCAAAACAATGTTGGATTATCCAAAAGAATAAGGAAATGGATGATGCGCAACTCACATCGATTACTGTAAATTCATTAAAAGGATTTGAATAGTCTACCAGTGATGTTCGGGAGTGAAAAAAAGCCGAGACCGAGACCGGGAATCAACCCCGAGACTCGGACCGAGATCGAGAGCTCAAAAACCCGGTAAATTTCCCGACTCGGGAACCAAGACAGTCTTGAACATCACTACAGTCTAATATTCTATTTTATGCTCGCTATTGGTGTTGAAGTTTTTCGGGCCTCATTTTTATCTAGTTTCGACCAAATATCATAGGCCTAACTCGATTTTCCGGTCCATTTTGGCAACCCTATTTCCTATATTAGAAAATAATTATATAAATTATTTTTTGAACTAAAAAATAATAATTGAGAAATTATTTTTATTAACTCCAAAGATCATACTAAAATCTAGCGGTCTTGAAAACCATTTGAGTGTTACAAGATAAAAACATTCCATTACTAAGAAATTTAATTTAAATTTCATAGATGTATTTGTCTTGCTTTAATTTCTGGGTTTTTCTTCTCTGTTACAGTCATTCCAGTTATATGTATGTTCAAATTCTAAATAATAATTTCTACAATATCTTTTTAGATATTCAAGACCATTTGGAACTCTTTCCAGGATCTCCAAAAAGTGGACTAAATTACATTTTTTCACATTATTTTGGTGTGTTTATTGGGGCAACATGCATTTTTATCGGATATTCAATTATTAAGTAGAGCTTAATTTAAATAGAAATTATTACAAATTTTTACTAGTGGAAGTATTTTAAGGATAGAGGATCTCTAGTAGAATATCTCTAGTAGAAGATCTATAGATTTATGATACTATTTTTGGCTAGGGTAGCACCCCAAGCCTTCGTGGTGGTTTGTCTGGGTTCAGGTCTGGGTGTTTGTCCAAAAATTCATATAGGGTCAGGTCGGGGTTTCGGTGGGCGGGTGCTACCCTATTCTTAACAAAAAACCCACAGTCGATCGCCACCCCTTCCTTTCCGTTTAATTTTAAAACTATCGCTAATTTAAAATTTAATATAATTTAAGGAGAAATCACCCAATAGTCAATCCAAAAATTATTTTACCTTCATTATTAAGTGGAGCAATTTGGGGTTGTGGAATGATGTGTTTGTTCCTTTCAAACGATTTACTTACCCAAACAGTTTCATACCCAATATTAATTACTATTCCCGGTTGTGTTGCTTCTGTTTGGAGTATTTTTTATTTTAAAGAAATACCTTTGGTAAAGTTTTTAATTTAATAATAAAATAAATAAAATATTTTTAAAGAATCGAAAGAATTTATATATTATTCTACTTTCATTTACTTTTATTTTTGTTGGTGCTTTACTTGTTTTTGTTTCAAAGAGAAGAGTTAATTTATAAAAAATTGTCAAAAATTTATTTAAATTATATTAATTTAATTATGTCTGAGTTTATTTAAAATGATTTATGATGTAACATTTAAATTTATTTTTTTTTGATTTAATATGACTTTTGAAATTTGAAATTCTTCTGACTTTTGAAATTCATTAAATTATGTAAAAAATATTTTTTAAGAATCTGTCTGGGTTCGGGTCGGGGGGGGGGGCCACATAAATAGTATAAAATATTTATAAATAGTATAAAATAGTAATTTTATAAAATATGTAATATAAATAAAATTTTATAAAATAATATAAATATATAAAAAAATTTAATGTTGGAAAACATTAGGAAAATTATAAGAATTCCAACATAAATAATAGTGATGCTCGGGAGAAGGGGTGGGTCGGAACAGTCAGAGGTGTCGGAATTCGGAACTGGCTCAAAGTCGGAACTCGGAAATCGGAAATCAAAATTTTTTTCGGAAATCGGAGGGAAAAAAACGCCGGAAATTGGAATTCCGACCCACCTCTGCTCGGGAGAAGAAAAAAACCAAGTATCGGGAAGCAGGAGTCAGGACGGGAATTACCTCGGGAAACCAAAAACTCGGAAAAATTTCACGATTAGGGAGTTAGGATATATTATTAAAATTTTTATTTATTTGTAAATAAACCCTTTTTCTTGATTTACGCCACAATGTAAAAGCGCCAGTTGTCAATCCATCAAAGCAAAGAAGGAGAATACAGTAAGAAATGAGTTTTGCAGAAATGCTTTTGCGGACATATAGATAGCGAGCTGGACTTTTACCGATCGGAACAGTCAGAGGTGTCGGAAATCTGAAAAGTCGGAAATCGGAAATCAAAATTTTTTTCGGAAACCGGAGGGAAAAAACGCCGGAAATCGGAATTCCGACCTAACTCTACTCGGGAGAAGAGAAAAACCCGAGTATCTGAAAGCGGGAGTCGGGACGGAAATGAAAAACTCCCTAATCTCCCGATTAGGGAGTCAGTATCGGGATACCCGCGCATCACTAATAGATTCATATGAGGGCTGGATAATTTTGAATTTTAAAAAGCGGAAGGCGGAAGAAACGAAGGAAAATTAAAAAATGGAAGAGATTTATAAAATAAAGATATTCTTTTTCCCTTTGTTAATATTTATTTCATTTCTCTCACTTTCATGTGAGAATAAATATAAATATTTAATACTATTTATAAATAGTATAAAATATTATAAAAAAAATGTATATACTTTAGGAAATCGTATAAAATTTTATAAAATAAATCAAAAAAAAATTATAAATTTATTTTGCAGCCAAATATGTATCGTGTATAAATATTGAAAATATTTATTAGGAATTTAGAATAGGTATAGCTAAAAATAAATTATAAATCTAAATTTTAAACATTAATTCTAAAATAATAATTCTGATTTTAGCAACTCATTTATTTATTTAAGTAAGCATTTTAGAAAATAAATTCCAAAATAAAATTCCAAATACTTACATAGGTACATGTTGATGTTATAATTTAAAATCAACTTTATAACTATCAAAATTCTTTCAGAAAATTTATTTTAATTGTCAATTAATTTTTACAGAATCTTAAATAATGAAATATAAAATGCGTTTTTTGGCATTTTTCGTTATAATATATCTTGTAAGGCCGTGCTTGTCCTTGACAAGCAGGAAGAACACTTAAGCACCCGCCCTATAAGGATAAGGATAGGATTATTTAATGCATGGGAAAACAGTTGAAAGGGATCAGTCTAGTTGGGCCCAACGGGAGAAGAAAAGCGATCACTTTGTCGGAGAGCAGCGACGCTAGCTAATTGTTTATTAATAAGCGCTAAATTTCTTTTCCCGGGAACGTTCTCTTTTGTTATTCAATGTCGACTCTATAATCAATTATATTATTAATAATTTTGTTAGCTTTAACTTTACTTTATTCAATCGCGATTTTAAATTTTACATTTAAATAAATATTATTTTATGCGCAACAATTAGGGCCTAAGCTTTGCTTCTAACGGAGCACATACAACGTTGTATTTGAAGATAGAGTAGCCCTCACGGTGTCGATACCTCGCCTCATTTAATTTACTGGGTGGCCCAATACGTGTAAACCTCACTGGTAGCACCGGATGGTTCTTTTGAAGAACCACTTCAAATAAGAAAAACCACTTCAAAAAAAAAGTATTTTTTTTAATAGGATTTAATTAATCTATAAGTGCGTCACAACTCAAACCAACACAATCAAGGGGAATCACTTAGCGGAGAAAGATAAAAAGATTTGAAATTCAATCTATATCCATAAAAACGTCTCAAGATAAAACAAAATTACTTTCAAGAAAAATTCGAATTTATTCGATAACTGCTAGAAGTCCCTATAAAGTATTTATTTTGACATATTATCTTTTTGCTCAATATTACGAAATATGACAGAAAATGTTTCATTTTTAAAGATTGGTTATTCTTTTGTCTGCTCCTCACGTGATAAATTTCCAAAAAATAAGGAGGGAAAAGTAATAAAACAAAAAAAAGAGGAAGGAAAACAAGGGAACTCAGAAAAATCGAAATTAAAACGCCAGTCACAAAAAACTCCAGGCGGAACTTTTTACAATTTTTTATGTTATCTCTCGTGATGACTTTTTGTTATTGTATAATGAAATTTTTTTTGCAGCCATAATTTTCTTCAGGGAAAAGGTGAATCATTATTGACAGCATTTTATTCATCGGGACATTATTATTTATTCTTATTTAGTTTTTATTTTCTATCTTTATTTATTTTCATTCTAAAGGTGTTTTAACTTTATGGTCGAATATTAATTTTTATGTTAGAATTTAATTTTAGACTTCCCTTTTGTGTTTTGATAATTTCGAATATTACACCATTATTTAACGAGAGTATATAGAAAATACGGGGGTCTTTAGGGAATATTTACAAAATTTTAAATTAATATTG